GATGCTGGGAGGTGCTAGATTGGAATGGCCAGAGGTGCCAGGGGCTTGCTTAGGGATGGCTGGGAATGCTGGGGATGCTGGGGGATGCTCAGGGATGGCCAGGGGTGCTGGGGAATGCTATGGGATGTCTGTGGGTGCCAAAGGGACGCTCAGAGATGCCAGAGGGATGCTGGGGATGTAGGGGGGGGATGTCAGGGGGATGCTCAGGATGCCCGGGGATGCGAGAGGGTACAGGAAGGGATGCTCAGGGAGGCTGGGGCTCCTAAGGGGATGCTCAGGGATGCACAGGGATGCCGGCAGAATGCCCAAGGATGATTGGGGGTGCTGGGGGGATGCTATGGGATGCCTGTGGGTAGCAGGGGGATATTCAGGGATGCCTGTAGTTGCCATGGCAATGCCCAGGGATGCCTCTGGGTGCCTTGGGGATATCCACTGGTGCCCGTGGGTGCCATGAGCATGCTCTGGGGTGCCCGTGGGTGCTGTAGGGATGCTCAGGTATGACCGGGGTTGACATGGGGATTCCCAGTGGTGCCCAGGGGTACGAAGGGGATGCTCAGGGATACCTGTGGGTGCTATGGGGATGCTCAGGGATGGCTGTGGGTGCCATGGGGATGCTCAGTGGCTCCCGGGTTTGCCATGGGGATGCTCAGGGGATGCTCTGGTATGCCTGTGGGTGCCATGGGGATGCTCACTGATGCTGGGGGATGCTCAGGGCTGCCCGGTGTTGCCAGGGAGATGCTCAGGGATGCCTGTGGGTGCCATGGAGAAGCTCAGGGATGCCGTGTGTGCCATGGGGATGCTCAGGGATGCTGTGGGTGCCATGGGGATGCCCACGGATGCTGGGGATGCTCAGGGACACGCCGCGTGCCGGGGCTCTCACCGCAGTGCACGCAGGCAGCAGCTGGGCTGCCGCAGCCCCTGGCACAGCAGGCGCACGCCGCGGTCCCCCAGCGCGGTGTCCCCCAGCTCCAGGCGCTCCAGGCTGCGGTGCTGGGCCAGCAGTGCTGCCAATGCCACGCAGCAGCTCTCGGGCAGCCGGCACCACTGCAGCCTGCGGGACAGCCCAGACAGAAACCCCCCACCGCCACCGGCCAATGGGCATGGGGGGAACCACGCCAACCCGCCCCACCAGCCAATCAGCATCGAGGGGCCATGCCCACCCACCACATGGCCAATCAGCCTCAAAGGAACACACCAACCCACCACCTGGCCAATCAGCATGGAGGGAACACTCTCACTCTAAGCACAGCCAATCAGCATGGAGAGTCCCCACCTTCCCACATCCCCCCTCCCAGGCAATCAGCCTCAAGGCACCTCACGACCAATCAGCATGGAGAGCACACATTCACCCTTAGCACAGCCAATCATCATGAGGGTCTTCACCCACCCATTGCAGGGCCAATCACCATGGGGCGATCCCACCCTCTCACTCCCCAGCCAATCACCATGGAGGGACCCCACCCTCTCACCCCACAGCCAATCAGCATGGAGGGACCACCCCTCCCATGGCCAATGAAAGCCTGGCCTCACCCTGTTGCTCCCTCTTATCCACCCTAGAGCAGCACCCATGTGCTCTCCTCCAGCACCCACTCACCCCAGCTCAGCCTCTTACCGGAGCACCCGCAGGTCACTACCAGGGTGCCGCAGCGCCCGGCAGAGCACATCCATGGGGGAATTCAGCTCCTGGGGCTGCTGCTGAGCCATGGGACCGGGCTGTGCTCCGGCATCCGAGGGACCAGAGCTGCAGGGCACAGAGCCACGGGTGGCGTTCACCAGGAGCGCCTGGATTTGGCACCGGCACAGCAGAGCTTGGCACCAGCTCTTGGGAGGGACCCCCGTGGCTTTGGAGGCACAAAGGAGCACGAGCAGAGCTTGGGGTGCGCTTAAAGTTTCCTCATCGGGGCTCTGCTCTTTGCATGCAAGCAGGGGGATGTGAAGCCAGATGAGCCCCTGGGCACAGATGGGTTTGTTAAGGCCAAGATGCTCCATCACCATCCCTGGAGGCATTCCAGGCCAGGCTGGATGTGGTTCTGGACAACCTGATCTAGATGAAGATGTCCCTGCTCGTGGCAGGGGTTGGACTGGATGAGCTTTGAAGGCCCCTTCCAACCCAATCTCATCTATGAATCCACGAAAGGACAAGTTTTGGTGGGAGGAGCTAAACCCCAGCAAAGGACAAGGTGTTTGGGTCTGCTGGGGTGAGTGGCCCTCAGAGAGGACGCCTTCAACACCGGAGTGGAGAGAAGCGAGGGCGGCGTCCAGGAGCCTCAGCTCGGAGGGACAAGAGCCACCGAGGAGGGAGCCTCGAGTCCTCGACAGGACCTGCCCAGGAGCAGGCAGCTCAGCTCAGCTCAGCTCAGCTCAGGTCGCTGGAGGAGCTGACTCAGCGGGGGCGCAGCCAGGAGGCTCGGTGGCAGCTGTGAGTGGTTAAATCCTGCCCTGGGAGCGCGGCGAACGGAGCGGGTCGGGGCAGTTTGTGCAGGCAGCAGAGCCGGTGGAGAACCGCCTGATCAAGAGGGTTCCCCTGGAGCGCAGGAGGAGCAAGGACTGCTTGCTTGTGCGGAGAGACGTAGGCGAACCCATCGGCCAGATCATGGTCACAACACGATGAAAGCCACAGAGAGGAGTGATGTGAGTACCCAGACTGAGCCTTCCTGCTGACACACGGCCCTGCAGGCCTCTGGCTGCAGGAAATGCCTGAGCCTGGCACTTGTATCGGAGGGAGCCGGTGACACCGCTTGTGTGCGGTGTGAGTGAATAAATGATCTGCTCAGGCAGGTGATTGAACTGAGGGAGGAGGTGGGAAGGTTGAGAGCCATCAGGGAATTGAAAGTGAAATGGATTGGTGGAGCCACACCTAAGGCAAGGGCAGAGGGAGGTGGTTGGGCAAGTGGTGGATCCCCTTCCTTCCTACCATCAGATAGAAGGAGTGAACCTAAGGAACAAGGAGGTATGGAGGGAGGTCCCTCCTTGGAGACGTAAGCGAAAACCCTCACAATCCCTTCCTTCCTCCCAGTTACCCTTGAATAACAGGTATGAAGCCTTGGAACTACAGGGCCAGGTAAATGGAGATGGAGGGGTAGATCTAACTAGTGAGTCACCGAGGGCTTCACTCACCCTCGTGCCTTAGAACTTCACCAACCAAGAAGAACAGAGGAGTAATTGTGGTGGGTGACTCCCTTCTGAGGGGAGCAGAAGGGCCCATTTGTCGACCAGACCCATCCCACAGGGAAGTCTGCTGCCTACCTGGGGCTCAGCTTAGAGATGTTAAAAGGAAGCTCTCTGAGCTGGTGCAGCCCTCTGACTACTATCTGCTGCTGGTTCTTCAGGTTGGCACTGATGAAATTATTACAAGGAGGGCCAGGGCAATGAAGAGAGAGTTCAGGGCCCTGGGACGGCTGGTTAGAGGGTCTGGAGGGCAAGTGGTGTTTGCCTCCATCCCTGTTACAAGCAAGGGAGAAGAGATAAATAGAAAGAGTCTGCAGATTAATATATGGCTATGGGACTGGTGCCAAAGGCAGGGGTTTGGCTTTTTTAATCATGGGGTGCTATGTGAGACACCTGATTTGCTGGTGGTGGGTGGGATACACCAGTCCCAGAGGGGGAAAAGGTTTTTGGGGCAGGAGTCAGCAGGGCTCATTGACAGGGCTTTAAACTAGATATGAAGGGGGAAGGGGAGATAACTGGGTCTGCTGGGGACAAGCCCAAGAGAAGCATGCTAGGGCTTGAAGGATGGTGCACTAGGGAGGACTCTCAATCTATTGCTCCATTAGAGGGAAAGGATAGCTGTTTAGACCCTGTCCCACAGGGGAAAAAGTGTATCAGGGCGAGAGTCAACAGAGCTCACTCACAGAGCTTTAGGTTAGACTCAAAGTGCAAGGGGGGTGTAGCTGGGTCTGAACTGGTGGGGCATTGTTCTAGTATTAATGAAGACCAGAAGGCCTCCGGACTCCCAAGGGTGCCACGAGCGTGCTCTGCTCGCCCCCTGCAATGCTTGTACACCAATGCACACAGCATGGGGAATGAACAGGAGGAGTTAGAAGTCTGTGTGCGGTCTAAAGGTTATGATCTGGTGGCAATTACAGAGACAAGGTGGGAGAGCTCACGTGAATGGAATGGGGTCACGGATGGCGATGTCCTGTTTAGGAAGGCTAGGTCAGCAAAGCGAGGTGGTGGGGTTGCTCTGTATGTGAGAGAGCGACTAGAATGTATTGAGTTCTGTCCAGGGGCAGATGAGGAGCAAGTGGAAAGTCTGTGGGTACACATTAAGGGACAGACTGGTACGGGTGATACAGATGTGGGGGTCTATTATAGACCTCCTGATCAGGATGAAGGAGTCGATGAGGCTTTCTACAGGCAGCTGAAAGCAGCCTCATGACTACATGCCTTGGTTCTTATGGGGGATTTTAACTGCCCCGATATTTGCTGGCAGGCTCACACAGCCAATCATTCACAGTCTAGGAGGTTCCTCCAGTGCATTGATGATAACTTCTTCATGCAAATGGTGGACAAACCAACAAGGAGAGGAGCGCTGCTGGATCTAGCACTCACCAACAAGGAGGGTCTGGTTGAAGTGGTGATGGTCAATGGCAGCCTTGGCTGCAGTGACCATGAGATGGTGGAGTTTAGGATCCTGTGTGGGAGGAATAGAATACCTAGCAAGGCCACAATTCTGGATTTCCAAAGGGCCAACATTGGCCTCTTCAATCAGTTGCTAAGGGAAGTTTCATGGGAAAGGGTATTAGGTGGTAAAGGGGCTCAAGATAGTTGGTCAGCATTTAAGGACCACTTCTTCTAGCTCAGGATCAGAGTGTCCCAATGGGTAGGAAATCAAGTAAGGGAGCCAGGAGACCAGCATGGTTAAACAAGGAATTGCTGGGCAAAATCATGTGGAAAAAGAGAATATGGATTATGGAAGGAGGGGCTGACCACTTGGGAGGAAGATAGGACAGTTGTTAGAGGATGTGGGGAGGCAATTAGGAGAGCTAAGGCCTCCTTGGAACTTAATCTTGCAAGTCGGGTAAGGACAATAGAAAGGGCTTTTTCAAATACATAGGGGATAAAACTAACACAAGAGGCAATATAGGCCCATTGCTGAACGAGGTGGGTGCCCTGGAGACAGAGGATTTAAGGAAGGCAGAGGTGCTGAATGCCTTCTTTGCCTCTGTCTTTACTCCTGCAGACTCTCCCCACGGGCCCAAGATTCCTGTAGCCCCAGCAGGAGCCAGGACAAAGGAGGAGTTTGCTTTGGTAGATGAGGATTGGGTTAGGGATCAGTTAAGCAATCTGGACATCTATAAATCAATGGGTCTGGATGGAATACACCCATGGGTGCTGAGGGAGCTGGCGGAGGTCATTGCTCGGCCACTCTCCATCACCTTTGGTAAGTCGTGGGAAAGAGGAGAGGTGCCTGAGGATTCCAGGGTGGCAAGTGTCATGCCAGTCTGTAAGAAGGGCAAGAAGGAGGAGCCGGGTAATTATAGACAGGTCAGCCTTAGCTCCATCCCTGGAAAGGTGATGGAACATCTTATTCTTGACACCATCTCTAGACATACCAAGGATGAGGGGGTCATTAAGAGCAGCCAACATGATTTTACCAAGGGGAAGTCATGTTTGACCAACCTTATAGCCTTCTATGAGGGAGTAACGGTGGATGGATGATGGTAGAGCGGTAGATGTGGTTTCTCTTGATTTCAGTAAGGCATTTGATACTGTCTCCCACAGCATCCTCATAGATAAGCTAAGGAAGTGTGGGCTTGATGATCAGGCAGTGAGGTGGATCAAGAGCTGGTTGAAGGGAAGAAGGCAGAGTTGTGGTCAATGGGGCAGAATCTAGCTGGAGGTCTGTGACCAGTGGAGCACCTCAGGGGTCGGTGCTGGGACCAGGGCTGTTTAATACTTTCCTCAGCGCCCTGGATGAGGGAACTGAGTGTACCCTCAGCAGGTTCGCTGATGACACTGAACTGGGAGGAGTGGCTGACACAGCAGAAGGCTGTGCTGCCATTCAGCGAGACCTGGACAGGCTGGAGAGTTGGGGGGGGAGAAACTTGATGCAATTCAACAAGGGCAAGTGTAGAGTCTGGCATCTGGGGAAGAACAACCCCATGTACCAGTACAGGTTGGGGGTTGACCTGCTGGGAAGGAGTGAAGGGGAAAGGGACCTGGGGGTCCTGGTGGTTAGGAGGATGAACGTGAGCCAGCAATGTGCCCTTGTGGCCAAGAAGGCCAATGGCATCCTAGGGTACATTAGAAAGGGTGCGAGGGAGCTGGGTCTCTTAAACTTGGAGGAGACTGAGGGGTGACCTAAACAATGGTTACAAATCTGTAAAGGGTGAGTGTGAGGATGATGGAGCTAGGTTTTTTTCAGTGATGTCCAGTGACAGGACAAGGGGCAATGGGTGTGAACTGGAGCATAGAAGGTTCCATGTGAACATCAGGAAGAACTTCTTTACTGTGAGAGTGCCAGAGCACTGGAACAGGTTGCCCAGGCGGGTTGTGGAGGCTCCCACATTGGAGATATTCAAGGCCCGCCTGGACAAGTTCCTGTGGGATGTACTCTAGGTTACCCTGCTCTTGCAGGGGGGTTGGACCAGATGATATCTTCTGAGGTCCCTTCCAACCCTTGGGATTCTGTGATTCTCTGGATCGGATGGTGTACTCCTTTCCTTGGGATTCTCTCCATTGAGGAAGAGGGGGAGAAAGGTCGGGCTGCCCTGGGGGTCAGAGCTCAGCTCCG